ACAACCCCGTAACAATATGCGTTTTGTACTGCTGTTACACAGCACAAAACGCATAAAAAACAACACATTAACTCTCTGAATGATCCTGATGATTTTACAACGAAATAGCAAAAATTGGTACGATCATTGATCCCTCCACAATTCATTCATTCGTTTCGATGGTAAATTGGTACTAATGTAATGCCGGAGAATCAAACGTGCCATCAGCTTGTTTGTAAGCAATCTTCGAAAGAAGGAACCATTGACAGCCTTGTCAGGTAGTAGTTCTCACTAGCATTGCCATTTCTAAGAAGCTGCGCTTCCCAGAAAGCGAATGACTTATACAGATAGTTTTGACCTTTGACTTGTAAACAATAAAATAAAAATGTTTTAAATAATAATGCTGCCACTTCGTAACATAAAAAAAGAATTTTTTTCCCAAGATCTTAATAAGTATTACAGTATTCTCAGACAAGAAAAATTTATTGTGAATTTTCAAATTACCTAATAAATTTTGGCACTCTGATAGGTCTGGAAGTCTGCTGCACCCCATAAATCACTCAGTGTGTGATTGGTGTCATCCAGCTGATGATTGATGAGAATTATGGATGAAAATTTGAAACATGTGCTACGGCCGTTCGAAATTCTTATTAATATGCATTGGCCATGGATGTCATTAATCATATTACAACTTTACTGATTAATTAACTTTCCGTGTAGCAACGAGGCCGGGAAGCACAAAAATCACGAAAAAATTAAATTCTTTTGCGTCAGGTGTCGAGTGTTTGTCATTTTTGATGTATTTTAATCATATCATTAGGGCCAGTGCTCAGGGGAAACCAAAATTTTCAGGATGGATCGAAAAAAAAAGAAATGAATTTGAGTTGTATAAAGTGCTGAACTCTTTCCCAGTTTAAAAGCTAAGGAAAAAACCAGGGCGTTTTTCATTAATATGCTTTGCATAATTCGGGAATGTTCGCTCTAGAGAAGTCACTTTTGAAACAGATCTGGGCATTGAGAAACGCGGCCTTACCTGTCGACTATTGCATGATACTTGAAGCTTGAAATCAATTCATTCAAATTTCCCTGTTCTCTTGATTCAAACGGTCAAACTTGAGCATTACTTCTTAGTGAGACACATCCGAAACTCCGGTAATCAAAGGCAAAGTCGGTACACCTACCCCACCTGAGCTAACGGCAAAAACACGTGAAACAGCATTGCAGCAACGTGATACGTGCTATTGTTTGTTTTTGAAATAAGCGACATGGGCAA